GGAGCTGCCGCCTCCTCTCACCCTGACCCGTTTCCCTCAGCCCAGACATGGCCTACACTCCTTTCAAGTGAGAAACTGTTATTGAAGGGGTGGACGTGGGGCCCCACTGTATTTTCCTGTTCTAAGTTCTCAGACCAGCGTGATGTGTAGAGAAAAAAAATGCAGTATATATTTCTGATGAATTTTTAGAAGGGAAGAATAGACCTGTGAGTGAAGCTGAGTTTGCTTTCAGGCTGCAAATTACATTGACCTCCTTATGAATTTCATCTGTTCAGTCCTCAAGGAAGTGGACTCGTCACACTAATTGTCTAATATTTTTAAATTGCTTGTCATAAAAAACAATATAATTTTATACTTATAATATATTTTATAAATTTCTGCTTTTTATACAAACTCCTTGGTAACATGAAGGGTACATTTTCAAATTCCTCCATCTGATTTCCAAATCTCCCGCTGTTCCAGAAGGCTTTCAGCTGCCCCACCACCCCACTGTGGAAAACACCTGTTTGTTTAATCACAGGTGTTTACAAGCAGGCGGAGCCTGTAGCATTTCTGATAAATTTGACTGGCCCATATAGCGTAGCCAGACAGACTTACAGTGTATATTTTTTCCAGCACCATGAGAAATACAGAATTTAGTTTTTGAATTCCTGTCAAACTAAGATTATAGATTTCAGCTTTAAAAAAAAGTTGGATAAAATTATAAATCCCACAGTATTTTATTTTAAGATTTGGGTAACTTGTAAGCAATTATTTGGTAGCATAAGATTTTTTAAAATGTTATTTTAGGCATCTATTTTTAAGTTAATCATGGGGTGGGATACCCAAACCAATTATTTTAATTTTAGTACTCTATAATTTTTCATAAAGCATAATTAAAAGATACACAAATATATAGCAAGGAATGTGTGGATAAAAACATATTTTTGTTCAGAGGGAAAAAAAGAAGCACTGTTCATATTACTAATTTTTGTTTTTTTAGGTGAAAATCCTTTGGCTGATGACCAGAGTAACCATGATATTAACTCAGTTGCTGGCGTTCTAAAGCTCTATTTCCGTGGGCTGGAAAACCCCCTCTTTCCTAAGGAAAGATTTAATGATCTGATTTCTTGTATCAGTAAGTAGACTTTTTTTT